CCTCTCAGAGGCCTTGAGATTCAAGCACTGTCCTTGCATACAGCCCTAATACCCAAGGACAAGAGCTGCTGTGCACCCTCCAGCTACAACTCCTCGCTTAGGTGTCATTTACCTAGGTCTCTAACTAACATACACTCTACGGTGTGTGACAATCTTCTATCAATAAATGAGCATAACCTTCAGTAGTCACAGAGCTGGCTCACCTGTGCCTGACTGAATAACAGATCCTTAGCTGAGATGGAGTTGATCATTTACTCTTAGTTCACCCTTATTTTAATTGCTTCCTTGGAATCTGCAGGACGTCCCAATGGATCTCAAAGGACAGTGTGCACTCTCTGTTCCTCATATCCTACTCCCTTCCCAAAGGAAGTGAATGCTTTTGAGGCCTTTATCTACTTTTTTATTTAGCTATTTTATCTGACTAAAATTGAATCCCAGTAACAGACTTTTCTTTCCTGAGGTTCTGCCACTTTTAACTTTAGGACGCCACTTTGCAACTTTCCTCTGCAAGTCAGCTCCTTCTGGGCTCCGTCCTGAGCAAATCCTCCTCTTTCTATTCCAGATTCTACCCTTGCTTAGTTCCCCTCACTGCCTTGGCTGCTGCTTACACTCTGAAATTCCCAAGAATTGCCAGTCTTGCATCTGCAGCTCACACTGTCTTGTAAACAATATCACAATGTAAATGAGGACACTTTTCCATTTCCGCCTTTCCTGATTTCTCCTCCAAACATCTGATTGTTATCATTTGATGCTAATGTCCCTGATTCAGTTGTTCACCACACTATCTCCACATCAGAATCCCCTAAGAATGGGGCAAATAAAAAATACTGATGCCCACACTACACCATCAGATATTTCAATTTAGTGATCTGGAGTGGGGCAAAGTTTTGGCATTTTTCAAATACTATTTTCTCATTGTTGGAGATGTACATTTTCATCTCTTTTGCCTGAGAACTAGCTTTGGTAGCTCTTCCAAGAGCTGAGACTTGGGTGTTATTATTATCTCCAGACTCGCAAGTCCTGGAGCCAGAGCTCAGTGCTTTTTACTGTCTTAAATAAGGTATTCACACAATTCGATTTGCTCAGGACAGATCCACGTTAGAGCCCTTGTTCTGGTATTCTATTCCAGGAACCACTCTGCCCTTTCATTCTCAAAGGTATCACATTTTGTGCAATAACTTATCTACCCCCTAATGGTAGGGTCCCTAAATGTTTGAAAATACTTAGCATTATGGAATAAATGGTATTTCCTGGGGTCAGACTGTGACTCTATTTAGAGATAGGACCTTAAAAGAGGGGACTAAGCTAAAGCAAAGTCTTAGGGCGAGCCCTAAGACAATCTGACTAATGTCCTCATAAGAAGAGGAAATTTGGACACAGACACACGAGGGACATGTGGTCACCAAGGAACGACCATGTGAAGACACAATGAGACGTCAGCCCCCAGCAAGTCGAAAGGCCTCAGGGAAACCAAACCTGACGGCATCTTGATCCTGGACCACTGGCTTCCAGAACTGAGAGAACATAAATGTTGTTCAAACCACCCAGTGTGTGATATGATATGATTTGCTATGGCAGCCGAAGAGGGCTAATACATTCGGAAAAATACAAAGTAAAACCAATCTAAATGTTGTTTCCCAGTTACCTCAGGTTCTCCAAGAGGAATGCTTACACTATTTTCCAAGTTGGCTTCCTCGACCATACAATAAGGATTTGATATCTTCACAGGATGCCTTTAGCTTTTCTGTACTCTAAGTTTGTAAAACTGTTCCCAATGGAAGACTGAGGCACCCATCCCTCCAAGCCACATACTGATCTAGAAACATCTCAACTTTATGCAGCAAGGGACAGAGTGACTTTTATGAAGGTTCCATGCAGGGTCTCTGAGCCAGCCTAGAAGAGCATTTAGGATAGGCTCCGGATGAGTGGACAGTCAAATGATTTTTGACCGATTTTTTTAAGAGGAGCATGTCCAGTGAATGGAGTTGTTGACACATGTATTTCCAGGAAAAGATACGGGGTGGGGCTAGGGCAGAGGTGAGAGAGAAACCATGTTCTTCTAGTGCTTTCCTAATTTACTGCATCCTCCATTTAAAAACTCTTCATTTTCCTCTGCTCAGAGATCAGACACTATAGTTGTTATCCTTCATATTTTAACTCTTTAAATACTTGAGGATTTAAAAATTACAAATTCTCTACTTTCAGCTTTTTTTTTTCTCTAGGCTGAACAACTTCAGTCCAGACTATTCTCCAAACATTTCAAACCAGTTCATGCACTGTCACCCACTACCCACCATGCATATACCCACACGCATAGCATACACACCTGCTTGCATTGGCCATAAGCCTGCTGCTCAATACTGTATTTTGGTGCTGTCCTCTCACAAAGTACAGATTAAGGTCACATCAGTCACATAGTTGTATGAACCATAAAATCATCAGTATGTGTCCTTCATTAAATAGAAAGCAAAAGAATCAGTCAGACACACATCAGTCATTCTGAGGGATGACACTATATGCCAAGAGGTAGGTGTAGTCCCTTCTTCACTACTGACAAACAAATTACTAATCTTTCCATTTGGAGGTGTTTGGAAACATCAAAGAACTGAAATAGATCAGCCCCAATCATACAGAATGCATTCCTACCAGGAAACACTGTAGTTTTTCTAATCTTACATCAAGGCATAAATACAACAGCCCTTGTTTTCCACACAGATTCCTACTTCTTTCACACCCAAGCATATGCTAAGAGCTCTCAAGCAACACTCTTCTTCCATCTCTGGGAGGTGTCTTAAAACATTTTTAGCTCACCAAACACAAAACAGAGGAGGATCTGTTTCTTAAGGATAGTCATCTTCAACTGCTTATTTATACTGCAGATGGAAACCTATCGATTAACATAAACATATTTTCATACTAAAATTAGCATTTGCACTGCCACCATTAAAGGCTGAAACAATAGTGTTTGAGAAATAATCACCCAGGAAATTCCACATTGCTTCATAATGTTCAGACTAAGTGCTCATTAGAATTAGAAGGTAAATAACATTGAAGAAGCAAAGAACATCAGCCTACCAAACTCATGGGGCTGCATGTAGACAGAAAATGTCAAACATGATAGTAAAATGCTTAACTAAAAAGTAATATGACATTGAAGCAGAGGATAAGCCCTCTTTGAAATAACCCAATAAGAAATGATTAAGGCCACCCACTTGGGACCCCTCTCTTCAGAGCTTTCTTGTCCTTCTCCTTATCTGACAATAGATTTCTTAATTTTCTGCCTAAAAAAACAAAAGGAAAGAAATGATTGATTGAAAGTCCAGTACTGTGGGGCCTCCCCCATGGCGCAGAGGGTTGAGCGCTGTGCTGTGAAGCTGTTCTCAGCCTCTGCAGCGTGGGTTCAATTCCCTGCCAGCCAGGGAGATACCCACATGGTGCGGCAGACCTCTCCTGCTTTGCCCGCTGCTCCCTCGGCAGTGTCTTCAGTCTGTCTGCCTGTTCTGCTCCCCGCTCTGTCTCTGGTGAATCCTCTCACCCTCCCGTGCCTCTGGCCTCCTATACCCAGTTCTTGTATAAGTAAATAAAAATAATCTTTACCCCAGATCTTGTATGCATAAATAAATAAATCTTAAAAAAAAACTTAAAAAAAAAAAAGAAAGTCCAGTGCTGTGCTGTTTAATACAGTAGCAACTAATCACATGTGGCTAATTAAATTTAAGTAAAACTAGAAATTCAGTTTTTCAGTTGCACTAGACAGCTTATGAGAATCAAGCAGCAAAGACTAGAGAGGTCCTTCATTACAGAAAGTTCTGTTGGGCAGCACAGATCTAAGAAGATTCTGTTTGACTATTGGGTTAGCACCATTTGAAACATCAGGTCTTAAAGAGAGGATGGGTTGCACAGCATCCTGCCGGATGTGACAAGTGGCAGAAAAACATGGTGGAAAGTGGGGGGAAATTCCATTTCTTGAATGAGCTGATAGATAGCACTGACATTTTCTTACAAGATGTATCTTTAGATAAGGAAAGAAATCTTGGACTGAAATGAAACACAGTTAGCGAACACTGCTATTCGATACCTCACCATCCTCTTCTGGACATTCATAAAATGTACCAGCTTCTGCTCATGTATTAGAGACTAATTAGACTACACTGGTCATCTCTCAAATACTCTTCATCCACTCATTTCCTGACCTTACTATTCTGCTTACTATTCTTCTGAGATTATAACAAAACATTTTTTCATATCACTTCAATAAGTGGAACTGCAGTCAAAATAGAAAAATGCAAACTCTTCCCATTTTACAAAAAAGGCAAGAACTTTATTTTAAATAAATCCTCAGTTGTGTGTTACACCATGTCCATATCTAAATCAAAACTCAGAATGATAATGCAAAGGAAACACAGGGCTTCATAAAAGCACATTATCCAAATATTACTCTTGGGCAATGCTTTAACTAAATACACAGTAGATGTGAAAGGTACAGTATGGCACTTAAATAAATAAGAGCAGAGAGAAGGAAACATATCACAGTCCAAAGCAATGGGGTTTTGAACCTTTGGTATGTGTCTCAAATAAGCATCAGTAAACAAGTGTTAACCAATAGTGTTTAGCTTCAGCTTTCTGAAGTCATTGATTGTGTGTGTGTGTGTTTCAGAAATAATTGATAGAATAATAAATCAGGTTTGACATGGACTGATTAAGGTCTGTGGTGTGAGCACACAGGTAAATTCAAACCATGGCAAAATGAAGTGCAGTTGTGTCGCACAACAAAATTCTAAGAAAAACAAGTGATACACATCAATTAGAAATTCTGTGGCTCGGGTCGACACCCTTGATATTGACAAAAAAATATTTTAATGCTATGCAAAGTCCACAAGCTGGAAGGCAGAAATATCCCACAGTTCATAACCACATGCCTAACAGTGCAACGACCATCCCACAGACTTGTTATAGTTGCATATTGCCATTCCCTCCCTCCCACCCAAACCCTGCCCCTAATAAACAGCACCAGTGCAGTCTGAGTAAGAAAATGGGAAATATTGAGACATTCCTAAGGTTTCATAATGACTAAGGGCCAGTTGGATAGGGCTGAAGTGCAAACCTCTGCATGGCCATTCTCCACAAAGCACCCCATGTCATTCCCTCTAACTTGCAGATTAGCCATATTAGGTCTACTACTGTAAGGCCAGATTCAGAAAAACAGCTGGCATGCTATCCTGGATTGAGGAAAAGGGGCATGCTGGTTGGGGGAGGTACACGAAAGATGTCTCAAGGATGTTTTCCTGCAGCCCAGGATGAAGGGATGTATTGAGATAGGTCACAATTTCTTTACCGATGAAGTGTTTGACTCATGCCATTCACCAGGATACGGAGCTCAGCAGAGCTACATTCTACTTGGGATCTGTGCGAGTCCACTGTTGCCAAGAGCAGACTGGGCCATAAAAGAAGTCCAACTCATCTGTCTCATCGCTCCACCCAGTTGTCTCTGCAGAACCAGTGGTGTGACACGTGACAGTGGTTCTGCTTCCTCTCCTCTCCCATTGATACAAGATCTTCTCTTACCCAGCCTGAGCTCACATCTCAGGGGTACGAGTTACATGAATGAGCGGCAGATAAAGCCACTCATGAGCAGTGATTTGGGGCTCCTGACCCCTAGGCCTTCCCAAAACCTGACCCTTCACACATAGGCAGAGTCACTGGACTGAGTCCTGCCAAAATTGGGAACACTGACTCGGGGCAGGTCCTTGTTGCGGATCTCATAGACTGACTTCCTCTTGGCCTGCGCCCCTCTCACAGCCAGTTTGATCTTGCGCCATCCCAGGTGGTTGAGTTCGGCCAAGTTCAGCACAACACAGATGCCACTCACTGCAAACATGAACACTAGGAAGACGGTCTTCTCGGTAGGCCGGGAGACGTAACATTCCACTTCTTTGATGCAGGGGTAGCGGTCACACTCGTACAAGCCCGGGACGCTGAAGCCATAGAGAAAGTATTGGCCCACCAAAAATCCAATCTCCAGGGCATTTCGGAACACCACTTGGATAATGTAGAAGCGGGAGATGCCTTCCTGCCTTCGGAGTTTGGATCGTGCCGCGGTGCGCAGCCCTGACGGATGTGGGGTCAGCTCCTTAACCTCTAAACAGTCGGGTTCTGTCTCCTTGCTGGTGTTTTCTGTGTTCTGCAGTACTCCATTAACAATGGCATTTTGCAGCTTCTTATCTTCTCGCTTGCCTCCACCGCTTCCCCCACCCCCAGTTCCTCCAGGACCCCCCATGGACTCAGGAGGATCTCTGTCCAGGGCCAGGAAGACAGTAGAGTAGCGGCGTTCTCGCTGCTTTGCAGACTGGTGCACAGAGTAGGTGATGAAGCAGAGACTGGGAGTGCACACCATTATGATCTGGAACACCCAGTAGCGTATGTGGGAGATGGGGAAGGCCCGGTCATAGCAGGCCTGGTTGCAGCCGGGCTGCAGGGTGTTGCACACAAACATGGTCTGCTCATCATCGTACACCGTCTCCCCTACAATGGCCACTATGAGGATCCGGAAGATCACCACCACGGTCAACAGGATCCTGAGCAGGAGAAGAGGGAGGGAGAGACATTCTCATGGGCTGAGTCACTGACTTAGGAAATCCCTGCTCTGGTGTTTACCAATCTGCTGGGGGGGGGGGTGTTGGGGGGGAGCTGTCCATCGCTGCCTAGTACTGAACTGGGAATCTAGGAAACGTTTTTTATCTCTTCCCTTTCTGCTGGGTTTTGGTAGATTGGGAACATTGCATGTCACAGGGATTTCAGGTATACACATCTCCACACACTGGAAAATGGTCTGTTAGCCACAGATTTCCTCTGTAGCTATGGAATGTACAGATGCACATGCACAAAACACACCACTTTGAATATGGCAAATGCACATGCAATATCTGGACAGAGAGTACCTGTTTCCAAATTTCCAAATCTACACTGGGTGTGCAGATGCAACTACTCTGAGTGGCTATTTCGTTTATTCTCGACATGAATATTCAACGTAATGCTTTCTATAAGCAGATAGCTGTGAACGCAGACACAATGGTCCGGTGGATGTGTGGGTTTCTGATACTGTGCGTCTCAACAGCCAAGTCCGTTTAACCCAACCAACATTTCTTGGGAGAGGATACCTCTGCTCTGAAGAGCAAATCCTTCTCCCCAAGTGCCCTTCTCTGTCCAAATACAATCCTGCTTTCCCTCTAGATTCTATTTAAGGAACCGGATGGAGATCGGCTCCGACTCTGGAGAGTGGGGGGCCCACGGCTGAGCCAACAACTCCTTTTCCGATGGGCGAAGAGTGACCCCTCGGATGGTGCTTCACAGGGAAGAGATGGGGGGACTGGTCGGGAGCAGCATAGGAGGGGGCATCCCGGGGCATCCGGTAATCCCCCAGCGCTGGGGACACCAGCGCATGAACTGAGGACGACCGGAAGGGGCGGAGGGCGCGCTGGGGGTCCCTGGGGCTCGGTCTGGGCGTGCGAAGGGACTCCCGGGGGGGTCACCCGACGGGGCCCGCTGGCGACCGGCTCAGCGCCCTTACCTCCCGATCATAGTGGAGTGCTGCTGCACCGCGGCTTCCAGCAGCCTCTCCAAGATGGTCCATTCCCCCATGGCTGTGCATCCGGAGGCAGCAGACAAAGGCTGGGCAGCACCGGGCACGTTCCCGCTCCTGGCCCCTCCCCGGGCCGCACCTCCCGACTGGGAGCGAATTGCTCCCCCCCGATTAAAGAAGCAAATAAAAAAAATGTTTTTAAATCCACGGTCTCCCGCTCCCTTTTATGGGGGGGGCGGTATGTAAGTGTGTCCCAATGGATGGGGCAGCAGGCGCTGCTGGCAGACCCGCTACGAACCTCCCGCGCCGTCCGGGGTCAGGTCTGCAGCCCGGGGGTGTCCGGCGAGGGGCGGGCCGGGGGTGGCCGCCTGCAGGTCCGCGGGCTCCCGCCTGCCGAGGGAGGTCTCCAGGCGCCGGGCACCCCACGAGGGCTGGGGTGCGGAGAAGGGTCCGGGCGGCGCGCCCGGGGGCTGCCACCTCTGGGGCGCCAGGTGCTCGCGCGCTGCCTCCTGGAGGCCCCGCCGAGCGCGCCGAGCTGCCCGCCGGACCCGGGAATCCGCGGCCGCCGCCTCCAAGCCGCCTTAAGTAGCCTCCGCCTGCGTCACGCCAGGTCGGCGGAGGGGAGCCGAGCGCAGCGCGCGCGGTCGTGGCGCGCCCGAGCCCCAAGGGCAGGGGACGCGCCGCAGAGGGAGAGGCGAGCAGGAGGCCGGGGGACCCGGCGGGAAGTAGGGCGACTTCGAGAGGAAAGAGTTGCAACGCCCCTCCGGGCTTCCCGGGCCGCCCAGGTAACCTCACCTGACCGCCAGGTCCCCGCAGGAGGGGGCGGAGTGGGGAGCAGAAGCTTGGGTTTGCGGGGAGGGCGGAGCAGGTGGTGTGGCTTCCCCACTGCTTCCCTCAGCTTTTGCTTCCTGTCTGGGGGGATACAGCTGAAAGTCTCTCTGGGCGAGAGGCAGAAAAGTAGGGGCGGCAGTGGGACGCTGTTAAATACCCCTGGAGACATGTCCGTGGCTGGGTGGGAGCCGCAGTTCCATGCTTCCTAGGGGCCGAGGATATGAGATGGACTGGGAAGACTTGGGGAGAGATCATTTGCGAGGAAGTTTAAATGCAGGTGTGGCGCTCCTGCTGATGAGGGTCTGGGCACACACCTGTTCCTCAGGGTACAGGTGAGCCGGGGGTGAGCCAGTGGGTGCCAGGTTGAAGGTCTTGCTCCCCATAGCGCAAACCGGATGCTCTGCTTATTTTTTAAAAAATTATTTGTTCGTGTCTTACCAAGGTGAACTATAATCTGAATTTAAGGAGGCCCAGCATTCTACCAGCAGAACAGGGCAGCTCACAGCCTCACTGTCTCCCATTTTCCTTATCCCACCTTAGCTTTTCTTCTTTCAACCAGCAGATCCTGTTTTGTTTTTTATTTAAATTTACTTTTTTTTTTTTTTTTTGGCCATTTTTGCCTACAGCTACTGCCTGATTGACTTGAAACACTCCTAATGGATTGCTAATTAACTCAGGGGGTGGGGGTCAGCATTAGGAGACACATTAGTTGGGAGTATTTTATGTAAATGTCCCCAAAGCACCACGGCCAAGTAGTCATCACCCTTTTAAAATATAAGTGTGAAAGGGTTAGGGTTGTCTAGTCATTTTAGGCTTATACTGCAGCCTGAATTACCCACAGACTATAGCACATATAGATGTGACTAAGCCGCACTAAGAGGAACCTTCCGTGCTAAGATAACTAAGGTGATTGGGAACTGGCGCTCTAGACACTAGGAAGGTTCAGCCCATTTCCAGTGCACTCCTTTGTAAAATGACATGGAAAGGTGCAGCCTAAGCTTTAGCAAGAGAGGGATCCGTGCAATGTCTTCTAGAGTCGACACCTTTACTCCAAGGAAACAGCTTTTGCTGAAAAGGAGTAAAAGCCCACTAAAAATGGAGAAAGGTATGAATGGAATATGAGGGCTAAGGCGGGTGCTCTTTATTTTTTGCTGGTCAGGTCCCGTTATTCAATTGGCTTCCAGATGGAGTGGGGATCCCCTAATTCAGATTTGGTGTATTCCCTCTGACTCCTCCCCTCCCCCTTTGGCTCTGGCTCTGTGGTCTCTCCTTCTCTGGCAAACACACCAAATAAACGATCTCAGATTTACAAGAAGTAAATGAGTAAGAAAATTCCAAGGGAAATCTGTCTAATATCTGTCTAATATCTTTAAATGTCTAATATCTGTCTAATATCATTAAATGTTTCCAAATAGACCACCCAATTCAAAAACTCTATGTTCTGTATATATGACTTTCCTAAACCCTTAAAAAATGGTTATCTTAAGGACATAGATGACAGGAAATACATTTTAAATGTTCTCACAATGAAATTTTCAAGCACTATGCTGTGACTCAATTGTAGACCATTGTATTTTAAAATATACTCTATCTCACATAACATATACACAGGTATGTATAACATATGTGTATAAACACACAAAACACCTATATACAGAACTTATGGTTTAAAAGACCTGTTATTTGGTAGCCTGTTTTCAAACAAAAATATTATCTTCTCCCCCCCCACATTTTGAAAACAACAGTTTTTATTTTTAGAAATCATTCATAAGTTGTTCGGACTTACTACACTGTTTTCTTATTTGAGTTAACCAGTGCCACTTTTGACTAATAATTGGCCCTAAGAGTAAATATGAAAAGATTCTGTGTAAACCTGGATAACTCTGAGTTTCCTCAAGGCATTACCTCAGCCAGTCAGATCCTGATGGTCTCATTTCCCCTTGAATTGAAAATTCCCATTTAAGTCAACTGGAAAGGTCTTTTCTCTGAAAATAGTGGAACTCACAGAATAAATATTGGCATACATTAGATTCTTTGGGGATGCTCATTAAAAATATGCTGGAGTCCCGTCCTAAACATGCTAAATTAAAATCTATGGAGAAGAGGTTTAGGTTTTATTAACCTAATGGCTCTGATAAAACAATAAAAAGTTGGAAATAGGTGTCTGTGAGATCAGAGAAGCAAGAAATCCTATTCTCTTATTTTACAGTTGTTAATAAAGACCCAAAGATTCAGGACCTCAAGTCATACAGGTACTTAAGCTAGCTAAGGAAAAAGCCAGAAGAAAGTGCTTTTGAAGAGTTCTAGAGGAGACCAAATAATTTAAGAGGTTGAAAGATGTGACCTTTAAGGAAGGAAAACTGTTTGGATCATGGAGACAAATGATTGCCACTTGCAAGTATTTAAAGAAAATATATACCTGGGTTGATGGTTTAGCAAGCCATGCCTTTCCAAATGGTGATTTTCATTCATAAAGTAGGGACGTATTCTCCACAAAAAGGGGAAAACTGTAAAGGCTAAAACTGTAAAGGAACATAGCAAAGGACAGGATTAAAAATTCCAATACAGGGACACCCTGGTGGCGCAAGGGGTTAAACACCACAAAATGAAGCAATCCGCAGCCTCTGCAGCATGATTTCAATCCCTGGCCTACCAGAGAGAAACCCACATGGCGCAGCAAACCTCTCCTGACTTGCCCGCTGCTGCCCTCAGCAGTGTATTTCAGTCAGTCTGCCTGTTCTGTTCCCCACTCTGTCTCTGGTGAATCCTCTCACCCCCTGCATCTCTGGCCTGTGCCCCAGCTCTTGTGTGCATAAATAAATAAATCTTTAAAAAAAATAAAACAGTTTCCACTCAAAAAAAAAATTCCAATACAAGGAAGGAATAGAGAATTACTAACAATGATCCAGCTACTGCTTGGGTGTATTTGGATTTGCTTTTCTCTTTCTTTGTGCTTAGAACTTCACTTTCTTCTCAAAGTGTCCAGGTGAATTTGTTAGCTTTGTTGTTTCAAAGTTTGGGTGAATGAAACCTCCTGGGAACTGTCTTAGGTGTAAGAGTGAAAGTGAATCTACTGGACCTGAAGTTCTCGGGGCTGGGAAGGCAGGCCGTTTATGACCTACTGCTTTCCGTAGTGTCTTTAGCAGCGTGGAAACTCACGTTTCTTGGAGGACTGTGGTCGTTACTCAGGCTCTCTAGCCCCCTGAACCTGGGACACCGGGGTCCAGGCTCCCCTTCGTGACTGCAAGCTGTTTTCAAAACCAAGAAGAGAAGGGCTTCCCCTTTCTGCTTGAAAGTTCCTACGTTCACCAACAGCCCGGACCCCTCAGTGGAAAGCTCTGCTAATAACCCTCTCACCTTTCTGCTGCTCTCGATCACTGTGGTCCCCAAACCTGCTGAACTGACACAGAGAATACAGCCGAATACCCGAGGCTTGCCCACCCCACCCCACCCCGCACCAAGGCAGCCTGTCAAAGCTTTGCTTACACTCCTGGAAAGACCAGCTTCTGTGGTCTTCTGGGATTTATGTGATTTGGGAGAGACCGCATTCAGTGTGGGACTGGTCTTGTTAAAGCCTTCTTCTTTCATTCACAAACACCTAGGATTAACTGAACTTTATCTCCCCTAATGGTCTACATATGTTTCCTAACGAAGTCACTAAATTGTCTCCTGAAGGGGCAAACCCAACCTGTCTTTTGAGACTTAAAGAAACATAAATGGCAAATGAAATCTACAAAGTACTTTCTCTCTTGTTTCCTTCCTTATATGATCCCAGTTCAAATGTTTAGGGAAACACTTCTTTATTTATTTATTTATTTATTTATTTATTTATTTGCTGTCTAGACAAAAGTAATATCACAAGAGTAATATCCCCAAGTAGCTCTAAATATGGTGACTATTTTTTATGGCTTTGGATCTCCCCCACCACCAGAGCCTGTTACCTTCAAAACTGTCTGCAATCTCATGGACCCAAATATCAAGCAGCCTCAGCCCCAAGACTCTGTGTATCCAAACAGTGGGGAAATCTGACATCTTCTGCCTGCTAATCTTTTAAATAAAAAGGATATATACCCCTTTAAAAAATGCACAAATTCCCCATCTCCCTCTACCTTGTAGATATAGAATATACCTACATGTAGTAATATATCAAGGATTAATGTAATATGACATTGTGGTCAAAGCAAATGTGTGAAGTCACAGCAAATAAATTAGCATTCTGTTAAAAATCAAATCAGCCTTGCTGACACGTAATCCTTCATGTTTATGTCAAGTCGTGATTCCCATTCACATCAGGAGCCTCCCAGGGGGGCTCATTAAACCTGCAGGAGGAGATTTCT